GAAGATGAGCTTCAGAAAGCATACAGGCAACAACATACAATGGGAAAAGACCTCAAAATAGCTCTAGAGTGAGTCAGAGAACTAGGGGATGAACTCAAGAGGAACGACATAAGATTCATCAGAGTACCAGAGGAAAGAGAGGAAACCCCAATGAAAAAGCCACAGTTAAAATTATCATTGCTGAGAAGTACCCAGAGCTAGAAAATGCAGGCATCTAGATCCAAGGAGCCTGAAGGGTGACGAAAAGAGACCCTAATAAAAAGACTCAAAGACATATAATAGTCAGAATGACAGATACCACAGATAGAGAAATAATACTGCGAGCAGCAAGGTCAAAGAAGGAACTCACATACAAAGGAGCACCCCTTAGATTTACAGCAGACTTAGAAGAAACCTTCCAAGCCCAAAGACAGTGGTTGGATACAGTGAAAAAACTCAATGAAATGAACGCTTCACCAAGAATACTTTATCCAACTAAACTCTCACTTAAACTCAAAGGAACGATACACTATTTCAAGGTAAAACAACAGCTCAAGAACTTAATAAAATCCAAACCAACCTTGAGAAAAGGACTAAAGGGGCTACTGAAAGACAAGAAAAATCCCTAAAAGCACAAAAACCCTCTACAGGAAGATGCCACAAAACTATATGACAAGAATCTCTCTTAATGTCAATAGTCTAAATGCACCAATTAAGAGTCACAGAGTGGCAAAATGGATTCAAACACTGAACCCAACATTCTGCTGCCTACAAGAAACACATCTGAACAGTCAGAGCAAACACAGACTCAAGGTCAAAGGATGAAAAATAATCCTGCAAGCAAACAACTCCCTCAAAAAAGCTGGGGTGGCCATACTAGTATCTGACAACATAGATTTCAGGATGAAAAAGATTAGGAGGGACAGCTAAGACTATTTTTTTCATAATCAAGGGATATGTACAGCAGGAAGAAAACACACTCCTAAACATATACACATCCAATGAGGGACCAGCTAAATACTTAAAACAACTGATAATAGACTCCAAGGTGGATACTGGTAGCAACACAATAGTAGTTGGAGACTTCAACACCATCTTATCACCTCTGGATAGATCAGCAAAATAAAAACTCAGCAAGATGGGCTTTGAAGGAAGATATAGAAGAGAGAGGGCTAATAGTTGTATGCAGGGCTTTACATCACACACACACACACACGCACAAAATAAAAAAATACACATAGAAGAATAAATTATTAAAGTGTTAATTTTTCGAAGACTAAATTATGATTTAAAACAAATTTTAAAAGGGTATCACACTGAATTATGATTTCCAACATTTTTTAATTTAAAATGTGGTTAACAAAGTTGTTCAGAATACAGTTGTTTCAGGCATTCAGTGTTCAACATCAATCTCACCACCAGTGTGACCTTACATCCACCAATGTTCCCAGTTTCCCACCCACCCACCCAATCCTGCCCACATACCAGGCACAAACAAATTCATTTCATATCGCTTGTTATAACAAAACGGAAACTTAAACTATCAGAAAATAAATCAGTAAAAGTCAAATTGTGATCATTATTATATCTTATAGTTTTGTTCCTAAGACAATAATTATTTACTGAACTGACTGGTGCTGGTTGAGCCTTCTGCAATACTGTTTTTGCTCATTGAGTTTGGTGGGCTTCTATGCAACCTTCCCATCAAATTCACTGTGTTCCTACTGGGCTGTAGTATTATGAAATTTGGAGGTGTGTGTGCCCGCATCTGTAACTGCACTCCAGGAGCTGTAGAGCTAATGTGTCAAAGGAGATCTTTCCTATCAGAAAGGAAAGGTAATCTGTCCAGCTCCATTCTGAGAAGGTACAGAACTTTAAAGGATTTTATAGGAAAGTCTTCAGACTATCTAACCTGTCACCTTGTAAAATGAAGCTCCTCATAAAATATCTAGACACAAAATTCTTCCAAGGATCAGAAATTTTTCTTCACCAGAACTTATATCTATAATTGCAAATACCTTTTGAAAGATAAATTTAGTTTCACATTGGTGACTTAAAGAAAAAAAGAATGAGTAGTATTTCAGTGACGTGAGATACATAAATGTTAAAAAATGAATAAATGGTGAACAGAAAATTTTCCCTTGGTTTGTAAGAAATATGACTTGTCTGAGTTTTTGGCCTTTTTGAGTCTCATCAGATAACGAATCTCCTTCCCTGTCTATCTTTCTTTAACTGATTCACAGCTGAATTCCCCAGAGATAAGACCACATGACTTACTGCACACTTGAGGGAATTCACTATAATGAGAAAACCAGAAGCATGTAACTTGACAGAAGCAAGCAATCAAGTCAGATGACTAAAATTCTTAAGTTTCTAATCTGTTCTTTGTGAATTTATTTCTAATCACAAAATGGGGAGAAAATTATACTTTAAAAAAACCAACTTTAAAACCACTTACCTTGAAATTAACTCTGAAACACTTGAACACAGTTCCAACCACCAAAGAAAATCCTTGAAATCCTTTTAATAATGGTTCTAAGGGGTCAGAGTTATAGTATAGCAGGCACAGTGCTTTCTGTGCATGTGGCAAACTCAGGGTGAATTTCTGGACACCCAATAGTGTCCACCAAGCACCATCAAGATTGATCCCTGAGCAAGCTTTGCTCACTGCCATGTTTGGCCAAAACAACAAAACAAGACAAAAATAATGGTTCTAGATCATTAGAGAAATCCACAAACCAGGACACATTGGAATTCTCAATGCAAATCATATTCAGTGCATAGAATCCTGAATTCCCCTCAACCACCAGCAATACTGTAATGTACAACAGGTCTCACCCCACCTGTGTGCCCATTGTCCTTTGTGCACCCAATAGCTTCATCATTTCTAGGCCACAGAGTATAAGGCAATGCCTCAGATAAGTTGGTACAGACTAGAGAATTCCAAAAGCACAACTGTATATGTTATTTCCTATAAGAATTTATTTTCAAGGGTTCACTAGGTCATATGGCATTTATTATATAAACTGTTAATACATTATTAATAGCAATTTAATATGTAGCAATTAATTTTTACCTATGAAACTAAGCTATATGTTTTACAACAAAGATAAGACATGTTGACCAAAAAAGTTCAGTAATTATATAAGACTATGGAATACTGTTAGCCTGGAAATAAAAGAGAATCACAACCAATTTTAGTAAAGAATGATATGTATAAATTCTAGTATACATCTCTTATTTTCTGTACATATCTGTACTTCTTCTAACCTTCAAATTCAGCCTTAAAGATAAAAATATAGTTTAATAGGCATTTGGTGACTGAGCAGCAAAATTAATCATCAACTAAATTTGCTAGCCTAAAGTAGGCTTGATTTTCTGAATTCAACTTATAATATATTTGTATACCTGAAATAAAATATCTGTAGCATTCAGTTCCTTGAGCTGTAATAAAGAGATAATAAAGTACCTACTGCGCAGCCATTGTAAGATTTACTTCAGACAATTTGTGTCTGGTGCTCTTAGCTCTCACTTAGGCCAGATTAATTATTAGCTATTGAATGTTTTACAGTATATAACTTACTAATAGCTATTGAATGTTTTATTATTTTTTAAAGTATTTGCTTCAAATATGATTCTTTCCTAACTTCTAGTTAGCATAAACCTTATTAGCTCTACATTTAAAAAGATAGAATTGGATAAAATCTCTACTTGAGCAAAGGATATATTTTATATATTATAACATATATAATAATATTTTATATATTATTCAGTGTACTTTCTGGTCCCTTCTGGCCCCACTGCTGAGCGTGATTAACACTTTTCAGAGAGACTTTTAGTTGTTTTGGTTGATTCCAAGTGTACCATTATCTCTCCATCACTAAAGGCACTGCTCTAAGGCTGAAATTTATTTTAATTAGCCATGGGTTAGTCTGTGGCTCTACTATATAAAAATAAAAGTGGAATTAATGACATTATTTCAGTTCAATGAGTGACAAACTATAACAATTTCCTAATACCTGAATATGTTAGCTAAATCATGTTCTTGAATTTATCACTTGTTATGAACTAAATTCTTGTGAAATTTCTGTTTTTCCTATTATTATTTCTGTTTGATGGTGGGATAAGTAAAATATGTACTGAGCTATCTTTACAGCATTGGACAGTGATGACTAAAATCTGTACAAAATACTGAAACTTTAAACCATGGACTGGCTAACAATCTTCCCTACCCTTCATTTACCCCTCCCCCCTGCAAAAAAAGATAACAGTAAGCCATTCAATTTATTGAGGATAGATTAAGGCCATCTATAATAACTATTTTACTAAACAAAAAAACTATGTAAAGTGATTTATTTTTGTTACTACTATAATTCTTAATTCTACAGGACAAGACAATCTTATTATGTAGCCTGTAAGCTTACTAAAACAAATCAAGAACTACAGAAAGTTTTTTTAAATGCACCATTTATTTGTGCTAAAATAGTTACCCATGTAATTTAATTAGTGATTTTATAATGCATATTATTATCCCAGATTTAATATAGGATAACCTACTTTTAAAATGACTCATTTTGATAAAGTTTTTTTCTGTTGACACTATTGGGTGAGTTTTAAAAAATACTTTTTAAGTATTTTTTTACTTAGCAGGCATTTTAGATTGAAAAATGAAATCGCAAACCTGGAGGCCTTCTTCTCAGCCGTAGTCTAATAGTCTTATAATCTTGTAAAAAGCATATCAGAAATATTTCCTGGCTCTAATGCGATCATTCTGATTGCCCCTTCTAATGTACCTGTCCTCAAACCACTCACAGAGATAAATTAGGAATGCAGTAAAAGCATTGTAAAAAATTTCTAGGGAAATATATTCACTTTCCCTATGTGTCTTAAAAGAAATTCACATATTATTTATATTAGGCTAGAATAATTGTGAATAATGTTTAGGCTACTACAAACTCATAATTCTTCATGAATTCCATCTCAAACATAACACCACAATAGAAAGGGGAAAGATAACCTACCCCATGTTCCCATCCATTAGAAGAATCATGTTGTATACGTGAGAAAATATGAAGAGAAAGAGAATTGTGCTGAAGAACATTGTCATCCATGATCCATGATCCTTTCTAAACATTTTTAACCGGAGCACCTTACCTGAAATGCAAACAGAGGAAAACAACTTACATTTTTAGTCAAAATATATACAAGCATTGCTTTCTTTTCTTTTTCTTTTATCTAATTTATAATGCTGGGGGATTACATATCCACGCTAACTTGAATAAAGACATAGCACTGTAGCACTGTCCTCCTGTCGTTTATCGATTTGCTCGAGTGGGCACCAGTTATGTCTCCATTGTGAACTTGTTGTTACTGTTTTTGGCATATCGAATACACCACAGGGAGCTTGCCAGGCTTTGCCGTGTGGGCGGGTTACTCTCGTTAGCTTGCCAGACTCTCTGAGAGGGATGGAGGAATCGAATCCTGGTCGGCCCGCATGCAAGACAAATGCCCTACCCACTGTGCTACCGCTCCAGCCTGAATAAAGACATACGGAGAAAAAATAATTTGGGACCCATAAAATTATTGAATTTACATAGTAAAAAATTTTTAAATAATAATACCCTTTATTTTTGCTCTCATTCATCTATTTAGAATCCATCTAATCCTTCCTTCAGTCAGAATTAAAGTATGACAGTCTTAATACTTTAATATACAGTTCTTCACAGTTTTACAGCACTTTAATATACAGGAGGTTTTGGTGTCACAGATAGTCTTTCTGGCCACCTGTATAGCTCTTCCTTGATGGTAGCATTAATTTTCTTAAAACTAGTTGACTTGTTTCACATTTTTCTTAAAGACATTTAAGAAATGTCTTTAGAGTTTCTTAAAGACAATTGTATTATCAACTAAAATAAAATCTTGTGGAATTTCCTTCATCATATTATTCTCCTTTGGTGGTGGGGAAAAAAACAATAAAATTTTAACTCAGTTATCCTTTTTGCATTGAACAGTGATGACTAAAATCCACACAGAATTCCAAAACATTGCACAATTGAACTGGATAACATCCTTGCCTATGTTTACAAGAAAAGGATAACACTAACCTTTCTAATCTATTGAAAAGGATAGAGCAAACCTTTCTTAATAACTATTTTACTGCACAAAGAAAGTATATAAAATGATTATTTTTGTCATCAGGATAATTAATAATTAACTGTTTTTAATTGTTTTTCCACACAATTGAGTCAGGGTTGGGGGATTTAGGAGAGAGAGGTTTTGGGATCCATGGCAGAGGATGGAGAATCTCATCACCACATAATATCAATCAATAACATTTTTTAAAAGCTACTTGACTTCCTTCCAAGTGTACTGGCATGAGTTTATTTTAATAAAACTCAATTCTGTCACAAGGATTCTAATATCCTCGCCATAGGACCACTGTATAGGTGAAGAAAATTCTACCAAATGCCCATTTTTGTTATTTTGTAAGTAAATGATGATAGGTAAAGTTCAAGACTCCCATACTGTCCCATCTAAAGCTACCAGTACTAAAATGAGAATATGCTTCAAAGAATTACTCCCATTTATTATGTTAGCATGAAATCAAGATAAATTTGATGATTACTATTATTATTTCCTATTTCACAAAAAAATTTTGATCCATACTGAAGACTGATGATCATTAAGACTGATGAGATTAAGAAGCTTTATGCCACGGAACATCAAAACCTCAAGGAAATGGATAAATTCCTAGACTCCTACAGACTCCCAAGGCTGAACCAAGAAGACCTGGAATACCTGAACAGACCTATCACCACCAAGGAAATTGAAATGGTAATAAAAAGTCTCCCCAAGCACAAAAGCCCTGGCCCGGATGGATTCACTAGTGAATTCTTCCAAATCTTTAAAGAAGACTTACTCCCAATCCTCTTTAAACTTTTCCACGAAATTGAAATATCAAAAACACTTCCGAATAGTTTCTACGAAGCGAATATCACACTGATACCAAAAGCAGACAGAGATACCACAAAGAAAGAGAATTACAGGCCGATATCCCTGATGAACACAGATGCAAAGATCCTCAACAAACTACTAGCAAATAGAATCCAACAACTCATCAAAAAGATCATACACCATGACCAAGTAGGATTCATCCCAGGGATGCAAGGATGGTTTAACATTCGGAAATCAATCAACATAATCCACCATATCAACAAAAGAAAAGATAAAAAGCATATGATCATATCAATAGATGCAGAGAAAGCATTTGACAAGATCCAGCACCCATTCATGATGAAAACCCTAGCCAAAATGGATATAGAGGGGACTTTCCTCAACATAGTTAAAGTCATCTACCACAAGCCTACAGCAAGCATCATCCTCAATGGGGAAAAACTGAGAGCCTTCCCTCTAAGATCAGGGACGAGACAAGGATGCCCACTCTCTCCACTGCTGTTCAATATAGTACTGGAAGTACTTGCAATAGCGATTAGGCAAAAAAAAGATATTAAGGGCATTCAGGTAGGAAAGGAAGAAATCAAGCTCTCACTATTCGCAGATGATAAGTTACTATACTTAGAGAAACCAATAACCGCCACCAAAAAACTCCTAGAAACAATAGACTCGTATAGTAAAGTTGCAGGCTATAAAATCAATACCCAAAAGTCCATGGCTTTCCTATACGCAAACAGTGAGAGAGAAGAAAGCAACATGAAAAAAACAATCCCATTCACAATTGTGCCCCAGAAAATCAAGTACCTAAGAATCAGTTTAACTAAGGAAGTAAAGGACCTGTACAAAGAAAACTACAAAACGCTACTTCAGGAAATAAAAGAGGACATGAGGAAATGGAAAGATATCCCCTGCTCATGGGTCGGGAGACTTAACATTGTCAAAATGGCAATACTAACGAAAGCATTGTATAAATTCAATGCAATCCCTATAAGGATACCCATGACATTCTTCAAAGAAATGGAACAAAAACTCCTGAAATTTATATGGAACAATAAGCCCCCACGAATAGTTAAAGCAATTCTTGGGAAAAAGAAAATGGGAGGAATCAACCTCCCTAACTTCAAACCCTACTACAAAGCAGTAATAATTAAAACAGCATGGTACTGGAACAAAGGCAGAACTGCAGACCAATGGAACAGGGTTGAATACACTGACATCTCCCCTCAATCATATAATCATCTAATCTTTGATAAAGGTGCAATAAATGTGAAGTGGAGTAAGGAAAGCCTCTTTAACAAGTTGTGCTGGCATCACTGGACGGCTACATGCAAAAAAATGGGCTCAGAACTCTGCCTAACACCATGTACAAAAATAAGATCAAAATGGATTAAAGACCTCAACATCAGACCAGACACCATAAGGTACATTGAAGACAAAGTTGGCAAAACCCTCCATGACATTGAGGCTAATGGTACTTTCAAAGATGCCACGCCACTGGCTGAGCAAGTAAAAACAGAGATAGATAAATGGGACTATCTTAAACTAAGAAGCTTCTGCACCTCCAAAGAAACAGTGACCAAAATACAAAGACAGTCTACAGAATGGGAAAGGATATTCACCAAATACACATCTGACAAGGGGTTGATATTAAGGATATACAAAGTACTGGTGGAACTCCACAGGAAGAAAACATCCAACCCCATCCAAAAATGGGGCAATGAAATGAACAGAAACTTTCTCAAAGAAGAAATCCGAATGGCAAAAAAGCACATGAGAAAATGTTCTACATCATTAATCATCAGGGAGATGCAGATCAAAACCACAATGAGATACCATCTTACACCTCAGAGACTGGCCCACATTCAAAAGAACAAAAGCAACCGATGCTGGCGTGGATGTGGCGAGAAAGGGACACTCCTTCACTGTTGGTGGGAATGCCGACTAGTTCAGCTCTTTTGGAAAACAGTATGGACGTTTCTCAAAAAATTAGAAATTGAGCTCCCATTTGACCCAGCGATACCACTCCTGGGAATATACCCCAGAGAGGCAATAATGTGTAGTCGAAGTGACATCTGCACTTGTTTGTTCATTGCAGCACTCTTTACAATAGCCAGAAACTGGAAGAAACCTGAGTGCCCAAGAACAGATGACTGGTTAAAGAAACTTTGGTACATCTACACAATGGAGTACTATGTAGCTGTTAGAAAAGATGAAGTCATGCAATTTACATACAAGTGGTACAATATGGAAAGTATCATGCTAAGCAAAATGAGTCAGAAAGAGAGGGATAGACATAGAAAGATTGCATTCATCTGGGGGATATAAAGCAACAAAATATGAGATCAATACCTAAGAATAGCTGAGATCAACACCAGGAGGATTACTCCATAGCTTAGAGGCCAGCCGGGTATTCTAGGGGAAAGGGCAGTTCAGATAGAGAAGGGAGCACCAAATAAAGGGTGTTTGGAGGATCCTCCCAGGAGGGGAAATGCATGTTGAAAGTAGACTATGGACTGAACATGATTGCCACTCAATGCCTCTTTTGCAGACCACAACACCCAAAAGGAGAGAGAGAACAAAGGGGAATACCCTGCCACAGAGGCAGGGGGGGGGGGGGGAAATGGGCACTGGTGGGGGGATGGGTATTTGATCATTGTATGACCGAAACCCAAGCACAAAGATTTGTAAATCTACAACTGTACCTCATGGTGCTTCACTAATTAAAAAAAAAAAAAGACTGATGAGATTAAGCTAAGCCTGAAAACACTAGAGATCATATTGCCATTTTCCATGATATATCCAAGTTATTATTAGATTGGTAGTAGATGATAGATAGATGGACAGACAGATAGATAGATAGATAGATAGATAGATAGATAGATAGATATCCTGTCTTTCAGAAAGTAGCTATCAGGTGCATTACTGGTATATATGGTACAAAATTGTTAAGATTTAACTTAGTAAACTTTTAAAAATATTGACAACCTTGGATTACCAAATTAATGAGACTATTTTCCTATTAAAACGTAAACAGAGCTAAGATATTTGGTTACATCATCAATTTGCTTAGCTAACAAAGAAAAGCAAAGAGCAAATCTCAAAATGGAGGTACAAATATATAGCCAAAAGAATGTGAAAAACTTTCTACTGAAACAAGTTATACTAGCACTACAAATTACAATCTCATCAACCTCGTTAGT